TAATATTTATTTGGAAAGTCAACATAAGTTTGATATTTATTTCGTTTCGTCATGAGTTGAGGATTTAAATCAACGTTTTGAATAAATTGGGGATTTTAATGACATTTTTCCCGTTCCCCAATACACTTCACTTCATGTCTTAAAGTTGCGTATACAAATGGTTCAATTCCAAAGCTAATCTTTTTCTTTTTCATATTTTGATTCGTTTCATATTTATCCGGAAAAAAATTTAGACATGTGCGATAATCTATTTCGGATTATAATAATACACTCTAGAAGATTTTTTTTCTTAATGCAGTTAAACTAATACTGATCCAAAGCAGGTCGAGTCTCGAGCTGGTAAGATGGCAAAGCTTCGATTGTTTTAATAGTCAAATTTAAGCGTCAATTTTTAGGTCTAGTTAGGATCTTTAAATTTGATGACTAGTTTGAAAAAATTACACATTACATATATATTCAAACACAAATGAAAATACAAAAAAGTAATATAGATCAATTACCAATAATATTGAAGCTGAAGATGGACTTCTTCAACATCTTATAGTAAATGAAAATAATATAATTGTTTCAATATAATTTAACAAAAGAGGATGGTTATAACTTAAAAGAACAAAAATCCTTCTCAAAGTGAAAGTATTAACTGAGAAACAAACCCGGAACATGAATAAGAGATTTTGCTAAACAAGAGATTTCAAACTAAAAAAATATTAAAATAAAGATAATTCAAACCAAAATATAAATTAATCAGTATTTTTCTTGATTTTGAAAAACGCAAGAAGAAAAGAAAAAAAAAATGACACCATTTCGATTGACCAAATGGAGTGATTTAATAATTTTCGTGATCGAGGGAAACCGATCTCTGACATAGTTATATATGGCGACTCTTCCTCAAATAGAATCCACTAGACCACAACCACTTGGTATTTATTTGGACATTAACAATATTCAAAATTCACAAACTAATCCAGTGGCGGAGCCAGAATAATATATTACGGGGGTCATATTATTAACATAATTATATCATAAATTATTTAATTTAAAAATAAGATTGGTAAAATAATTTTTAGGCTTTTAGATCCTTTTTGGCTTTTTTTTAATAAATTAGATATAATTAAAAATAATATCAATATTGTTACAAACACCATAAGTCCATAACTTTTACTCTTTTAGTTATATTCTGATTAAAATAAATGCATAGTTTTAACAAATATTTAATCCTCCTTGTATGAGATATGACTCATATGAGTGTAGTTTCAAATTATTCATCATTTTAGATATATTTTTATTTTATTTATGCAAATGGTATTAAATATATGTATTTTGTCTATCAAATAGGAATGAAAAAAAAAACAAAAAATAATATGTAAAAAGATAAATATTATTATTTAAAACTTTAAAGGTTAAAGAAACACACATAAAACATTTGTTATAGAAAAATAGAAAATGGGGGCCAAAATGGGTAGTGGAACTTGAAACATGGGGGTCAAATGACTATAAACAAACCAAATTTGCTATTATGTAATATAAAAATAAGCCTACATAAAAAATTTCAGAAATGTTATGGGGGTCAGTTGACCCCTCCTCATTGACTAGCTCCGCCTCTGAACTAATCTATGGTATGGTTGTTTAGCATTAAAAAAAAAAAAAACCTATGCTTGGTTTATAATTATTTATCTCTTTACGTCGTTTAATAACATTCGTAAATTTCAGATATTCATAAATTATCTGAAACTATTAAACCGTAAAATCATAATAATGCGTTAGTTCAAAATCCAGATAAGTTTTAAGTCGATCGATAATATCACATGACTGCAAACGCATTATTGTAACACAATGGCCAATCAAAACCAACTTCTGTGCAGTCAGTGTGGCGTGGCTTATTTATATTGGCTGTTGATGACTGCTGCTCTATCTTCTTTGTCTTTCTGGTGCTTTCATTTGTTTTGCTGTCTGTCGTCGACTTTTCCGACAAGAACCACTGTTCGTTTTGGGCTTTAACAGAAAAGCCATGGGCTTCAATTTTTATTGTCATTTTTCCAGTCTCAAGTTTATCCAAAAAAACAAGTTACAAGACTGGAGATTGGAGCAGTAGTACTAGTAACCCATGTTCTAAAAATCCCCGCCTAACCCCGATTACTCCCCGCTTAATCGCTAGGCCCACCCTCTCCGCCTCGATTAATGACTAATCCCCTAAAAAATCAGTAACCCGATTATTCTTCGCCTAATCCGATTACTTCCCGCCTAATCCGATTATTTTCCGCCTAATCTTACATACCCCGATTATTTTTTAGATTGCAAGTATAAAAAAAAAACATTTTATTTTTGTTATTCAATCATTTGAATTGGGAGTTTGTGATGTTTTACATAACTTGTGTTCAAATTTTAATAAAAATCATAAAAAATTGTTTTTACTGTAATTTTGAAAACAATATTGGATTAATATATTTTAAGCATATTAAAATAACCCTAAAACTAATCCCTGATTAATCCCCGATTTTAATCCGATTTTCCGATTAATCGCTAGGCCCATGCCGAGCGCCCGACTAGCGCCTAGCGATTTTTCAAACAAGGCTAGTAACTATATACCAAAACACTAACCCCCTATTGTGATATGATCAGTATTACATTGCAACGACCAAAATCATAAAATCTATCTCCCATTCGATTAAGATGACAAAACACTCGACGGGCGATAACAACCACATAGTTGGATATGAATATATTTTGACGAAAAAAAAAAAGTTGGATATGAATATAGTATGAAATTTTAATATTTATATTTCTAAAATTAGTTAGTTAGTAGTTAGAATCGAATATTTTTGTCATGTTTTCTGGTTAGGACTTTAATTTTCACCTTGGCACATGCCGACATTGCGATGGCTATTGTAGTGCATATAAATGAAGGTATGGCATGTGGGGGCAATTATTTTTTATTTTTTTGGTAAACATGTTAAGATTGGCAAATTAAATGTTTTGGGACATATTACAATTTACAAGTAAATGTTCAAGTTTAATCATTTAATGCATATAAAGGAGATCACGTCGTGCTGAATTTGGTTACGGCGCCGAAATGCATACGCTTTGCAGTTTCCATATTACCCTTAGCCACATTGTTCAATTGTTTCTTTTTTGGACCATATCCAATTTTCGATTATATAACATCACATCTAAAATGTGGTATATGATATATCTACTTTGTTTTATTGTGTATAAATGCTCTCCGTATGGCTGTAGGAGTTAAGGCCCGTAACCAATTTGAAAATTTCCCTTTACGTGGATCATACAATAAAATGGATGACTCAATTTTTATGTCTTTCAACCAATTCTGCTAAAACTCTACAAACGTAGCTCACAACTATTAGGATATAATGTCCCACATCGGAAGTTGGAAAGGATCCTAAGTAATATATAAGGGATATGGGCCACTCCACTCATTGCCAATTGGTTTTGAGTTAGAAGTCCATATTCTAATATGGTATCAGAGCCCGATCCGTACATGTCCAAATCCAATCCACCATCGGCCCGGCCTAATAGTTGGCCCGCCGATCCATGTCCGAGCATACCGAGATCAATGGCTAGAGCTATCATCTCGAAGGGGCGTATTAGGGATAATATTATCCCACATTAGAAAGGACAAGGGATCTTGACTAGTATAGAAGATATATGGGCCTCTCCACTCATTGCCAATTGGTTTTGAGTTGGAAGCCCATATTCTATTATGGTATCAGAGCCCGATCCACACATGTCTAACCTGATCCGACCCAAAGATGGTCCAATCATCGACAAGGCCTAAAATTGATGCCGTCGATCTAAGCCCGAACATTCCGAGATTAATGGCCAAAGAGCTATTATCTCGAGAGGGCGTATTAGGACATAATGTCTCACATCGGAAGTTGGAAGAGATCCTAAGTAATATATAAGGGATATGGGCCACTCCACTCATTGCCAATTGGTTTTGAGTTGGAAACCCATATTCTAATAACAACAATTAGTTACTCATTAATATTTATAAATATATAATGTTTTACAATTTTTCATACAATTTTAATTATATTTGATATTTTATAATTGTTTGTATCTTGCCGTCTTTTTCTAATTCAAACTAGTCAACAGCTAAAATCACTCACAAGTCACAACTAATTTTTAGAAGCCAACTATCAACTGTTCTGTTTTTACCTTCACCAACTACAAGATTGTATTTATTTATTTATTTTGTTTTGTTTAATTACGCCACATTAACAAAACAAAACCAGATTCACATCTAACAGTTTTTTTTTTTTAACTTAAAAAACAAACAACAACAACATCTGCAATCTTTTATGTAGTGGGAAATTTGAATCTTATATATACTGCACCAATATCTGTATTTAAATACTACAAGTTGTTTTTTTTTGGCATTGTATATATATAAATAGTCTAATACAAAACGTGAGAACTTCAATAAATGTCCCTCGACAATTGGCCTCGAGATTTAACGTCGGCCTCATCTAGATGCTTTTTTTTCTTCGTTCTGTGGTTATAAATTGATAGGTTCTTAATTATCCATTAGATCTCTCCGTTTCTCGTTCATATACATTATTATTCAAAACAATAAGAAAATATATTATTCTTAGTAAATAACTTTACGTTTAGGTTTTATATATATTAACACATATATACTAATTTAGTTAATTAGTAAATGATTATATATTTTCTTGGAAATTATAGTATTTAGCAGATAATTGTCTAGTTATGTAAAAACAAACAATTTTTTTTTTTTTTTGGCAGTGGATGAGTTTTGATCTCTGGCTTCGCCAAGTAAGATGATTTTTCAACTCTTGTGCTGCTTGTACCACTATGTACAAAGTACAATAGGTTAATTTCGCATATTATTTTTATTTATTTTTTAAAGCTAATTTCGCATATTATTTTGTAAGTCAATAAATAAATAAAAAACCTTTAGTTATGCATGCCACTGTAGCCTTCTCTTCTCTCTATATATATGACTTGCTTAGTACTCCTAGACTCATCCTCAGCCTCCTCCTTTATCTCCTCGAGCCTTTTAAAGTAACCAAAGCCATGAATATCTTCCAAGACTGGCCTGAGCCTATAGTCCGTGTCCAATCCTTATCTGAAAGCAACCTCGGAGCCATACCAAATCGCTACGTCAAGCCTCTATCTCAGCGTCCAAACATAACCACTCACAACAAACACAACCCTCACACCACCACCATCCCCATCATTGACTTAGGTCGCCTATACACAGACGACCTAACTCTACAAGCCAAAACGCTTGATGAGATCTCAAAGGCTTGTAGAGAATGGGGATTTTTCCAAGTTGTGAACCATGGGATGAGTCCTCAACTCATGGACCAAGCTAAAGCAACATGGAGAGAATTCTTTCATCTTCCCATGGAGCTCAAAAATATGCATGCTAATTCGCCGAAAACTTACGAGGGATATGGAAGCCGACTAGGCGTAGAGAAGGGTGCTATTCTTGATTGGAGCGACTACTATTATCTTCATTACCAACCTTCGTCTTTGAAGGATTACACCAAGTGGCCTTCCTTGCCTCTTCATTGCCGGTATGTTTTATTCCAAAATTTCTTCTTCCTTAATTAGTTATGATATATAAATTTAAAGGCATTAATTCACGTTTATTAAGCTTCTCCTTTTGTTACATTAAACTTTATTATAAGCTTACTTATGGTGATGGAACTCTTACTACAAGCTATTCATCAAATCTAGGTTAAAAAAATAAAAAGATAATCCACTGTTATATTAGATAATCGTCTTAGAAAACAAAACCGACGTACTAGTCCGAGTTTATTAGTGGATTATTAATTCATAAAGCAAAACACATATAATAGTTGTCAATCGAGCATATATATTTTTAAAAGTTTTCAAATTAATCGAAAATTTTGATGAAATTTCACGTTATTGAACTATTAGAGAAATATTGGAGGATTATTGCAAGGAAATGGTGAAACTATGCGAGAAGTTAATGAAGATACTATCGAAAAACTTGGGATTACAAGAAGACAGACTTCAAAATGCGTTTGGTGGTAAAGAGGAATCAGGAGGTTGTTTAAGGGTTAATTATTATCCAAAATGCCCTCAGCCGGAGCTGACTCTTGGCATCTCTCCGCACTCCGATCCCGGTGGATTAACCATTCTCTTGCCGGACGAACAAGTCGCCGGTCTTCAGGTACGTGGATCCGACGACGCTTGGATCACAGTCGAACCAGCTCCTCATGCTTTCATCGTTAACATTGGTGACCAAATTCAGGTGACTCTTTTATTTGGTTATTTTTCCGTATTAATTACTTTTTTATATATAACTTCGAAACTTTAAACCAAAATTCAGACTAAAAACTCGGACACTTTTGTTGTTGTTTGTTAACTTCTTCTTTCATTAGCTAACCATAATTACAATAATCGTGAAGATTCGAACCCCCGTGATGATAACTCTTGGCTAGGTTTTTCATTACTAGACTAAAAATATATATCAATGGTAAGGAAAATTAGAAAGTAAATATCACGTGGAGGGGACTTAATTTTCATCATCTTCTTTTTTATTTATTTATTGAAGTTGTTAATTTTGATAAACCACGTGCATGCATCTTCTTCTTCTTTTGTTTCTTGTCCAATTTTGTTTTAATAAAGTTAATGGGTAATTGGAAAGAAAACATAAAGTTGATGGGAAACCAATAATGTATTGGTGCAGCCACGTCGCGATATTCATTTCCGTTCTTTAATTCGACATGTGCCTCTATTAAAGGAAAAAAAAAAAAAACAAGGAAACAAGAAAAGGTCCAACAAAGGAACAGAAAAAAACAATTTCAACGACTAAGACGCTCTCACAATTATTTACATGTTTCAAACGTGCTAAAATCAAAACTGCAGACTTCGTCAAGCAAGACTAATTTTCTTCATTCTTGGTTTTGATATTTTATGACTACTTTCTTTGCTTTGTTAAATTAAACAATTTAATATAAGGACTATCAGAATTTTTATTAATAGATAATCCGTGTAACTTAATGGTTCTTTAAACTTGATAAATTGAATATTAATTGTTGATAAGAAGAACTAAAAATTTTATATATATATATATATATATATATATATATTCAGAATGTTCTATTTTCAATATCTCACATTTTTTGGATTGATAGAGAATATTTAACTAACGTTGAACATTTTGTTTTTGGTTAGATGCTGAGCAATTCAATATACAAAAGCGTAGAACACAGAGTGATCGTGAGCCCTGCAAATGAGAGGCTATCTTTGGCATTCTTCTACAATCCAAAGGGCAATGTTCCAATCGAGCCATTGAAGGAGATAGTGACCGTAGATTCACCTGCTCTCTACTCCTCCACCACATACGATCGTTACCGTCAATTCATTCGTACGCAAGGCCCACGTAGCAAATGTCATATCGACGAACTTAAATCCCCTCGATAGTGCGTACATTTTATTTGATAAGTGCATTATGTTTTCTTGTTTTATAAATAATGAACAATGCTTCTTTTTATCTGTTAAGTACTGTACTATTTATTGTCTTGTTATGTGAGGATGTTTACATTATGTTTTCTTTAAGGTATATGGGTTTTATTTGTTTTTTTCTTAATGTTTACATGTTCAACTATTGTGTGTGTTTGATTAATAATATTTGTTTTCAAAATATTACTGATGTTTTATGTTTATGCCATATATTGTTGGTTGCGGTCTTTTCTTTTCAAATGTGAAGAATTCTCGGTTTTTGGCTGGTGCATCTCTTGTAGCCATAAACTTTCTGTATTCAAGAGTTTTTGGGAAATGAGTTATGTTTCCAAGTTAGTTGATTACTCATTCTTTTCAATCGGTTCCGTTAAGTGAATTAATAATATTGAAGTATCTTTCTAACTCTAAGATTTTTTTTTCCTGATAAAGGATCTCTACGAATTTTTATAATTAAATATGTGGTTTAAACAAATTTTCTTTACTCAGTGTTGAATGTTGAATGATCTCCACATCTGATTTGGATTGTTCTTATACTTCTCTGAGATGATACTAATTTGATCCATTCATTTCAGATCAAAACCACTTTGAGTTTATTAGGATCTGATACCATAGAAAAAATCATAAACATCTATTAGTAATATATGAATATCTACTAGTATATTTTAGTGTTGATCTCTTCGCATATTTTCATGTAGATCCTAAAAAGAAAATCTCTTCGCATATCTATAGTTATAGACACGCAAAACGCGTAAGTCGCGATCAATGAATAGACAAAAGAATTGACCTCATGCATATGCAGCCAACCCATTATAAGACCATACGCAGCGGCATATTTTCTACTGGGGTGTGAGGATTAAAAAAACAAAAGTAATTAAATAGTAAGGAGAAAGACAACATCCGGGTGTGAAGTAACAACTTCCCTCTCGTCGAGTGTAAGATGACGTGGCGTGCTGTGAGTCGCCGAAATCCTCTTTTTCTTCTCCCACATTTTTTTTTCTTCTCTCTCTCCTTTGATTTTCTACACAGACATTTCTACCCCACTGTTATTATATTATTAAATTGACTTAAATATATACACTCAAAAATGTCCCACTGTGGATGCCCTAACCTTTTATCAATGCTACGTACCAATAGTTAATATATAGAATCCCTACTCTACTTAAATCCTTTATAAAAAAAAATTCAACCTACAACAAATTCTGTTGGTTTTAGCCATATAAACTTATATCAATTGAACAGAACAAATTTTTTACGCATATAAACAAAAAGCCATAGACGAATAGCTAATTAAGAAGACAAATTAAGTACAATTCGAATAAAACTTTTACCAAAGCTAAGATTATGGCGAAGTATTGGGCCATAAGAGCAACATTATTGGGAGAAGCTTAGTTTTGGTTCTTAGCCCAATTTTTGGTTCTTAACCCAATTTTTGGTGCTTATCTAAGAGTCTTTCTTTAGCAAAATCATCAATTGCAACTTTAATTGAGTTAAGAACCAAGTTAAGCACCTCCCAATAAAGATGGTCTAAGCCATACTATTGTATATGGGTAAATTAGTCTTCTTGTTTGAATCACCTTGATTTGTGCCACACATTCGGTTTCAGCAAGGGAATCGTTTCTTCCTCTGATACCATATCGAGCTTTATGTTTAATGGAAATTTTGACCCATCAAGCAAATAAAGATTCATGAGCCTTGTAGAGCCGAAAAGCCCATTAATATTTATGAGGCCAGAAAGTGTTGTACAAATCATAACGAAGCCATGGAACCCATTTCTAAAGATTAATGGTGATTCTGTAAATTTTTTTAAGTGATTCTGTAAATTTTTAATGGTGAAGCATTTTTTTTTATTCTTTTGGGGTAGGTTACGGATTAAATCGACGTAGAAACTGGGCTCTAGTAGGAAGATAAACGAAAAATCTCTATCATGAAATGAGACTAATTTGCATCCCTACCAAATTTTGATATTTATTTGAGAGTTTATTACATTATTACTTAAATTCTCCCGGGAAACCAATATCAAAAAGTGACACATGACGAAATCGTTAATTGTATTGAGAGGTAGATACATTAGTTTGTTGAAATATATTTGCCTCTATCCATGATTGTGAAATGTTGTAGGCTTGTAGCCGACTACGCAAATATATCTAACACTTGAAAATTAATGTGAGACAAATCTAAAGGTGAGTTGTGGCATGAATTATTATGTTACATTTATCCGAAATCGTTAATTGGTATAATATGAAATAACCTTAGAGATAAGACAAACATGTCGTCTTCTATATGACTTGATGATTGTCGATTTGGGATGAGAGAGAGCGACCTGGCCATTTAAAGTTGCTAGCATGTGCTCGTGTGTGTGTGGACGTGTGTCTCGACTTCTCCTATCAACGAGTGGTTCATATCAATTAATTATGCAAACACGATTTTTTTATATAAACAGAATGTGCTACGTGGATGGTTTGAATGGGTCTAAGCTTTCACTAATTGAAATCGTCGAGAAGATTAATGCAAAATGATTTAGAGATAGGCTGATTAATATAATCAAATTGGGAGTTGAACCGAGTCTAAATCAAACCAGACCGTGATAAAGTCCGGTTAAGGAAGATGTATCCATAAAGAAAGAAACGAAAAGGAAAAATGCAAATAAACGAATGAGTAAAGAATCTGTATTTTCCTATTGGCTCTATTTTCCATTTTTTAACTCCCACACTCATGTTTTTGACGCGTGTGTTTCACGTCCCATTCCTGTATAACGAATATATTTTATATTTTTTTCCAAATAAAAATATATAAGTGGGTTTGAGTGACATTTGAAACTTTGAGCAGCTAATAAAATGGTCATATAATAAAATGATGAACCAAGCTTAGAGTATTATTCAATATTTACTTTATTAGTCATGATTTTCTGATTAAAAAAACTAAATTATTATTGATTCCGTTTGATATGTTTCGTTGTCGATATCAGAAACATTTACAATGAAACTTAAGGAGGAGGGTACACACCAAAAAAACTTAAGGAGGAGGGTACACACCAAAAAAAAAAAAAAAAAAAAACTTAAAAAAAATGGTTGGCTAACAAAGATGTCAACGACTTTGATATAATTAGGTCACTCCTTTTTTTTTGAATTGAATAATTAGGTCACTTCTGCTATGATTTAAACGTTGTCCGCCAGATTTGGCCTATTTCGTCCCTCAAATAATTACATGACTTTTCTTTCGGGATTATTCCCTTTTGGGCAACCATTTTTTATTTTTGCCATTTAGTTGATGGGTTTTTAGATTTGCCATTATTCAGCAATGTAAAATGACGTTTTTGCCCTACACTAAATTGTTTGATTGATCGTATGAACCCAATTTTTTTTTTACGTATGAATCCAAATTTATTAAAACTAAACCCTAGATCCAACAACATACTAAACCCAAATGGAAAGGAAAAAGCAGGGCCAACAGATAGAACATGGATAAATTAGTAGAGTTAAAGCGTAAATATGCTGTCTCATAATACAGAAAGTAATTTAATCAGAGAATTCTGATTCGGGAAGACAAAATTCAGTGTAAATTAGATAATTTCTGTTGAAGATCAAGAATGAGAAACGAGAATCGGAACCTTTTTATGGATTGCAAGATCTGAAATTAAAAATTGAGAAACTTGTATGTATTATCACTGTAATCAATGGCTTTTTATGAAAAAGAGAAATGCAGATTTTTTTAACCGTGGTGGAGGTGGGATGTAATAAAAAAAAAGAAGGAAAAATGCAGATTTTTTTGTCTTCTTTGGTTTTGCTAGGATAAAAATATAATTTTAAGTAGTCCATAAGTGGCAAATCTAAAAAACAATAAGATATATGACTTGTGGCCCAAATGCCATAAAAAAAATCCATATGCCGTAATTAACTCATTTTCTTAATTTTTAACCTCATAAATAAATCATACAAACGGAGATATGTCTTTAGTCAAGTGGTTAAGTCTATTTGACTCTGCTTTCTCCACCGGAGTTTGACTCCACTAAGTCGCGTTATCCCGCGTAGTAGGAATTGACTATAGATCGGGCTTTGTCGATCCAAAGATGTTAAAAAAAATAATAAATAAATAAATCATACAAACAAATCGTATTTACCCCACATTTTCCTAATTCTTTTTGGCATCATCTAGTTGGCAGCCTTTGAACATCATTAATCTCCTTTTTCTTTACCCAAAAATAATAATATCTTTCCTTAAATCTTATTATAATAACATAAAATCAAATAACAAAGAAAATAAAAAGCCAAAACGCAACAAGTGGAGCGCGTGGGGATCAAATGTCATTCTCAAAAAGAGAGACTTGATCGAACCATCGCCATAGCTTCTTTCTTCACACACCTCTCTCTCTCTCTCTCTCTCTCTCTCTCTCTAATTAAAAATTATTCATTTTGAAGAAGAAGGAACCCAAAAATCCTTTTGATTGCTTTATTTTCTTCTTCAAGTCTCTCTCTTTTTCAGATTCTCCTGGTTTCCTTCTGCTTCTCCGACTCTCTCATGGCCGAGTTGACTCAGGCCGATGTTGTTTACTCTCCTCGTTCGTTTCAAGTATGGAAGACTTTGGTGAACTGGCTCGCTTTTTTCTATCAGATCTTCCTTCAGATCCTTCGTGCCGTTGGTTATCATCCTCTTCTCTCTTCTTCTGCTAAAGCCTCCGCTGATGGTTTCAAACCTTTGCCTGCTATTGAGTTGCTTGATAGGGCTTCTGAATCTCCCACCACCGTCGATATCGCATCCACGACGACTTCGGATTCCAGCGATTGCGAACGCAGCCGCTTTCACAGACTCAAAGTATGTCTTGAATTAGTCAAGTCCTTTGGAATTTGTTTTATTTTGACTTTTTTTTGTTGGTGGGTCGAAGATATTTTGCTCTATGGAATTTAGAATCTCTGTGAAGTCTAATTAGGGAGGAACAAGACTCGAAATTTGGATGAGCTCACTATGTGAGAGTGATACATATCAATCTTGTTTACTTCATTGTTCATTAATAGATTGAAATTTGTTTGCTTTTAGCGTCTGCATAAACGAGTCTGCACAGAGATTACAATCCTGTGGTAGAATTCTACTGCTCAAGCATATAATTTTGAACCAAAAGAAGTGTTCAAAGTAGACTTGAATTCGAGTTTTCATGTGATACTCAAGTCTGTAGGTAAGCTCACAAAT